AATAACAATGCAGATGTTAAGACTAAAAGAGGCACAGTAGTTCTTGTCACTTTAAAAATACCATGCGTCACTATATTTACAGGATGAAAACAAAGCATGACGGTAAATTGTGTGATTTATTTATTTTTTTCCCCAAACCAATCAAGCCAATTCCAACCGATTCTAAAGATTTCATCTGGTCAAAAAATGTGTGACAAAATGTTGACAAAAAAAAAAGGGGAAAGAATGTGACCTAAAAAAATATGACCTAAAAATGTTTGTTTTGCAAATTTATGTTTATAAATTTATGTATTTAATTTATGGTCGTATTGCAAATTGTGTTCTGATTTGCGAAGAATATTTCAGGTCGTTTTGCTAAACCTAATCTGCATATACTCCACAATTCTTGTACGATCAGCAGTTTGTCGAGGAACTACGGGAAGCAGCGTCGTTCCTTCGTCGGCGAGGGAAGACAAGAAATCCCTGTAGGACGGTTTGCGGCACTCTCTCACTGTTTCCTCGATTTCCCCTCTGTGAAGGGCCGAGGACGGGGGTTGAGGCGTAAATGGCATTTGCCGCAGGAGCCGTAGGCGATCTTTGGAGACAACTCAGTCAGAATCCTCATCTATGACTCAACGGAGGCTGCAAGATGTGAATTACAAGTGGACAGCATTCTCACCCTCACTTTCTCCCTTCTTCTCTCCTCTAATAATACGACTTCTCGCAGGCTGAGCACAAAAAGGATTCCCACAATGCAAGACAAATCCATTTACAATGTTACTGAGGCCAAGCGAGAACATAGCCTGACAAATATTAAGTACATATGATGAGATGCATACTTCCTGCAACAAATACAATTATTCTTTGCCTTCATAGAAATAAAAGTGATATCAAACTTTTGGATGAATTACAACCAGATGTCAGGGAATTACATTGAGCTGTTGTGAATGAGATGCTGTAGGCGGGTTCAGATGATGTCACATGACATCAAATCCTTTCCTAGCATTATTAGAATAATTAATAAGGAACCTCTCGGTGGAATTTCAATATAAGAAAAGCAATTGATGACTAATGCAAATCAGTGATCATTTATCTACAGCAAGAGAAGACATGGCAATACTAAAATCTTTAATTCTCATGTAAATCACTGAAAAAAAAAAATATATAAAATATAAATATATATTTAAAAAAATCCTTTGTAAAGATCATGTGATCTCAAGTCAATAACACTGATCTCATACGACTTCTCGCAGGCTGAGCACAAAAAGGATTCCCACAATGCAAGACAAATCCAATTACAATGTTACTGAGGCCAAGCGAGAACATAGCCTGACAAATATTAAGTACATATGATGAGATGCATACTTCCTGCAACAAATACAATTATTCTTTGCCTTCATAGAAATAAAAGTGATATCAAACTTTTGGATGAATTACAACCAGATGTCAGGGAATTACATTGAGCTGTTGTGAATGAGATGCTGTAGGCGGGTTCAGATGATGTCACATGACATCAAATCCTTTCCTAGCATTATTAGAATAATTAATAAGGAACCTCTCGGTGGAATTTCAATATAAGAAAAGCAATTGATGACTAATGCAAATCAGTGATCATTTATCTACAGCAAGAGAAGACATGGCAATACTAAAATCTTTAATTCTCATGTAAATCACTGAAAAAAAAAAATATATAAAATATAAATATATATTTAAAAAAATCCTTTGTAAAGATCATGTGATCTCAAGTCAATAACACTGATCTCAACTAGAATGTCTCTTATGACTTGGATGACGTTTTTTTTTTTTTTTTTTATAACAGGTGATTTTCAATTACAGTTAACAAGTAGCTAATCTAAGAAGTTTTAATTACAAAGAGTAGACTATCCACCAGTGTTTAAAAGACTTTTAAACAAATGGCTAAGGAAAAAAATATACTGCACTTTATACAAGAGCATGAACATACTGTAGATGTGAATGCTTGGTCATTAAATTGCAATACATTGCTTTATGTTTGTTAAATTTAACCTAGTCTCATGTGGGCTGATAATAATTAGTGAGAAATAGTCTAATTTATTTATTAACAAACAAACAAAAAAGAAAAAAAAAACTTTTTTGTTAACTAAACTGAACAAAAAAGGACAAAAACCCATTAAACACAAAACAAAGCAACAACACAAAACAACAAGCAACACAAACATAAAACAAAGTAACACAAAATAAAACAAGCAAACACAAAATAACAAAACATGAAACAAAAATAAAACAAAACACAGAACAAAGCAACACAAACATAACACAACACAACACAACACAACACAACACAACACAACACAACACAACACAACACAACACAAACAAAACAACCAACACAAAATAAAACAAACAAAACCAAACACACACAAAACCTAAAACAAAACAAAATAAAACAACACAACAGAACAAACACACAAAAACAACAACAAAAAAGAAATAACACTAAAACACAAAATGAAAAAAAAACAATATGAAACAAAACACCAAACACAAAACAAATAAAAACAAAGCAACACAAGTCATAAAAATAAAACACAAAACAAAACAACCAAACACAAAAAACATAAAAAACTGCTTGTTTTTACAAACATAAAACAAAGCAACACAAAATAAAAAATAAAAAAATTATAAAATAAAATAAATAAATAAAACAACCAAACACAAAAATAAAATAAATAAATACAAAACAAAACATCAAACACAAAACAAACAAAAACAAATCATAACAATAAAACAAAACAAACAAACAAAAAAGCAAACAAAAGACCAAACACACAAACACACACACACACAATAGAGCCATGTTGAGTTGCAAGCACCTCCTGAGCTCCTGACCATTTTTAAACAAACTTTAAAAAAAGTGGGCATCAGCTGACTTTGGCCAGTGTAAAGGCTCTCCCTATTGATAATTCATACACAACCACATCACATAGAAAACTAGTCTACACTGACACACAAACAAAATACTCAGTGGTCTAGTTCAGTGGTCTCCAACTCTGTCCTGCAGATTACACCTCCAACCCCAATCAAAAACACCCGAACCAGCTCATCAAGATGTTCAAGGTTGCTTGATAATGACAGGCAGGTGTGGTGGAGCAGGTTGGAACTGAAGTCTGCATGACGGTAGCTCTCCAGGAGTGGGGTTGGAGATCCCTTATCTAGTTGTTTTTGTTGAACGGAACAGCCATGTTGTTCTCTGCTAGTCTTTTTAGCTTGTTTCTTTAAGTTATAGCAGCAACACTGAAAACACCAATGTCCATGTTTAGCACCAGAGCTCATGCAACCACCGCCGGCTCGCCATGCAATATAGTCGTGCCATGTACCAACTGCTTTGACATGTTTAACAGGTTAACTGACTTGTAACACGTGTAAGGGCTCACGGCCTCCCGAACTCACACAGTGTATGGATTTACAGTAATGCTGAGAGTGAGACTCCATAATCAGGCTGCGTATGAGAAGAACTTGATTTTGCTTTATTTGAATTGAACTTTATTTATTCCTGCCGTGTGCATGCTCAATAATCCCAGCATGCATAGACATGAACAAATTGCTGATATTATTAATGCACATCTAATAACCTGTACTCCCCGGGGGAAGGGTTTCTCATATACGTTAACATATAATCTATGGTTCAATCAGAGGTTATGGTCTTATGAAGCTCTGGCTATTAAGATGAATCTTTTAAATGTCCCTAGCAATTATCTGGACTAAATTATATTATGTTTAACTGCTATGCTTGGCTGTGCCCAACTGCTGGGTGTAGAAAGAGCTTCCCGAACCATCAGAATTAAAATAACGGGAAATAAACCATACACATGTACAATACAGTAAGTGGAGTAATTAACGATTATAAAATGCAGAGGAATAAGGGAAATGGAGGAAGAAATAATACATAAATAATCCAGAAAAATAAATAATATAAATTATAACACATTTTAGGTGCTTACTTATTGCTATTACATGTTAATGAATATGCATAACACACAATCAAAGTATAAAAGTAAACAGGATATGACAACTAAATATAATAAAAGCAAATTTGTGTAAAGTCATTTTTAAAGCGAACAATGAATAATATAAAAAATATAAATTTAAAGTATGTCAATGAATGAATGAAAGAATGATAGTCTAAAATAAAACTAAATAAATTCGACAACATATGAAAGAAGCATGAAAATAGTTTGTGTAAAAAATTCTTAATGATTTTTTAAATCTAAATAAATAATATAAATGCTAATTAAACATTCAAATGAATGAACAAACAAATAAACAAATGAATTCATAAATTCTCACTTATTTTTCTGAAACAAAACAAATAATATAAAAGACATTAAGTTTAAGGAATGTAAATGAGTAAATGCACGTCAATGAATGAATGAATAGCCTAAAAACAAAAATAAATAAATCAATACAACAAAATATGGAAAAAAAAAATATTTATTTTATATATACTGTATATAAATAAATAAAACTTTCTCACTTTCTGAAACAAAAGGAAAAATAATATAAATGGCATTAAATTTAAGGAATGTGAACGAATGAATGAATGGATGAATGAAAATACAACTAAATAAATATAACAAAATTTGGAGAGAAAAAACATTTGTGTGGAAGAATGAATGAATGAATGAATGAAACTTATTTTTCTTAAAATTATAAATAATATAAATGATATTAAATTTAAGGAATATAAATGAATGAATGAATGAAACTTTCTTATTTTTCTGAAACAAAATGATAAATAATATAAATTATATTAAATTTAAGGAATGTAAACGAATGAATGAATGAATAGCCTAAAAGTAAAATTAGATAAATACAAAAAAATATGGAGGGGGAAAAACATTTGTGTAGTAAATGAATGAATGAATGAATGTCTTATTAACTTACTTTTCTGAAACTCACCAAAATCACATAGCAAACGTTTGATGGATGAATCTGAACCACATTATCTCATGACGACACTTTTGCAGACAACATGTACTCACGTGGAGTTGGAGAGTTTCTGTCCACTGTCCAATAACTTTATATCCGGGAGTGCTGTTGATGTTCATCTGGTACTGGAAAAGATCGTACCGTCCCGGTGCGTCGCCGTTCCGATTGAACGTGACGGACGTCCCGGCGCTCCCTACGAAAGACAGACTCAGACTTAGAAACCTACCTTCAACACTGTCAGACGAACATACTGCGTATCAATCATACATCATGAAAAAAAAATGCCCCGACATGCCTCGCAGACAACAAGACCCCATTGTTTGCATTTCCACTCCGTACAGAGACAAAAGTTAGTTTGGTTGTGACAGAAATACAAACAATGTGTGCCCCTCAGGCCAACAGCGGAGACTGACAAAATCTGACATTCATCGCCATCCGATTGTTTGAAGAGCTTTACCTGCAGGGCTTGGCACTCACGATCACAAATCTGCCAAAACACAATCAACAGTGCGGCTTTCTCGAGCACAGATGAAACGCCAGCCGCTCGCTGTGGACTGCTGACACGTCCTCATCACACTTATTATACTGGGACTCATGGGTTGTGCAAGGTAGCTATCAGTAGCACTTCTTTTGATATGAGAAACGTTTCCTTGAAAGGGAAGATCGCCGCTGTAGTGCAGCCTGTTGTATATACATCATATACAAAAACTATCTTACTATTATTCTTACTGTTTTTGAGCTCTCAGCCACGGAATCGAAAAGCGAAAAAAATATTTACATATGCACCCGGATTCTCTCAAACTATTGTTTTTACTGCATCGAATCAAAAATGAATAATTGGAAAGTTATTCTGCATACAAAGCATACACTATACAAATCATATAAATAAAGTGTCAGACGGAGTGTAAATTGATATTCATCAAGAATTGTTTTGCAATCATGGCCCTAGTATGTGATTGGAATGACAACAGTTCATTTCGTTTTTATTTTCATATTTAACTTCGTTCGTTAGTTTGTTCGTTCGCTCATGTATATATTGAAACTACAAACTAAATTGAATAAGTAATGATAAAATTCACAGATACTGTACAGAATAAGTGAAAATGGAGTAAATAATAATAATAATATAGTGCTTAAATATTACTATTACTACATATTACTTAGTATAAAAAAATATATAAAAAAATAAACTAGACATGAGAACTGATGTGAAAAAATAAAATGTGTGTGTTTAAAATAATACATAATATTAATTGTAAATGTACGGTGTGTGTGAATGAATGAATGAAACTAGATAAATGCAACAAAATATAAAAAGAATTAAATAAATTGTTTCCTACTTATATTATTATTGTTATTATTATTTTGGCATATCATTCATTCATTCAATTATTTGAATGTTTATTTTACAAAAATATTGATTTATTAATTTATAAATATCATTATGTTTATATGACTGGTTGTAGCATATGACATTCATTCTAAAAATAAATAGTAATATTTTATCAAAACTAATAAATAATTAAATAATACAAGTATAATAATACAAGTATACTACTACTACTACTACTACTACTACTACTACTACTAATAATAATAATAATAATAATAATAATAATACTACTAATAATAATATACTACTACTACTACTACTACTACTACTACTACTACTACTACTACTACTACTACTACTACTACTACTACTACTACTACTACTAATAATAATAATAATACTAATACTAATAATAATAATAATAATAATAATAATATGCCAAACTGTTTAGTTGGTTTTAAGAATGTAATACTTTTAATTATCATTGTAATTGATCAGTTGAACCACCCTGACACTTTTGACTTTATCCATCAAAATAATTTGAACACAAAAATGTATAGTATTTGTGTATTCAATTTTAAATGTACACATCCGTACATAAAACTGAACATCAGTGACCCATTAAACCCTCCAACCTATCTACACAACCAAAATACTGCATCATTCTGAATGTAATCCACACCCAAAGTAGTTTCTTTGGTTACTACCTCAGTTACTACCTCAGGCTTGAAGAAAGAAGGGAAAAAGTGGCAGTGAAAGTAATTAAGGCGAGATTCAGCAAAAATACAAAAGATTGACTGTTGCGTCGCTTTGAGCAACATGGGTGGACAAAAACCCGCTTGAGTGTCTTTTAGTCCCTTCATTATTCAGTCACTTTGGCGTCACCCGCTGCCTGTTCAGGTTTATTTTGTTTGTCCGTGTTTTGTTAAGAGGGCATCATGGGAAGAATGAAGAAATGTCTTATTCTACTAATAGTTTTTGGAGAGAATGAAGACACCGAAAGCTACAGGAGACCCGCAGAGATAAAGAACAACGGCACACTAGAAACACTTAAAGAGTGGATGAGGGCCTGGAAAACCTGCTGAATACCACAAATAACAGCCTTCCACTTCACACTGAATTAACAAGAGTCTTCCAAGATGCTGCGCTGCTGGTAACACATTAAAACGTTTTTTTTTTTCAACTATAAATGCTTTTATGTACCAGGTGTTGAGTTTGATCATGTTTCTTTCATTTTGCTATGGAAGCCCATTTCCACCACACAATTCAAAAAGTCAGAATTGCGAGATACAAACTCAAAACTTATTTTCTCACAATTCAAAGTTTACATCTTGCAATTCTGATGTTTTTTTGTTTGTTTGGTTGTTTTTTCTCAGAATTCCAAGTTTACTTATTGTAATTTACTTTTTCTCTGAATACAGAGTTTATATCTCACAATTTTTACATTTTTTTCTGATAATTTTTCCACAATTTTTCAGAATTACGAGTTTACATCTCACAATTCTGACTTTTTTCTGGAATTTCAAGTTTACATCTAAAAATTCAGAATTCCGAGTTTACATCTCACATCTTGGAATTCTAATTATTTTATTTTCTCAGAATTCTGAGTTTATATCTCACAATTTGGACTTTTTCCGCTCAATTCCAAGTTTACATATTGGAATTCTAACTCGGTGCAATGCGGCATCAGGCATGAAGCAACTGTTTTTTGCTAGTGTCAGCATGACGCAGTTATCATTTTCTTTGTATCGTTTTCTGGTCTGAAAATGAGGTGTGTTCATGTGCATTGTTGAGGCGTTGCTATTTTGAGGCAACTGAAATAGACTGCGCCATTGACCAACTAAGACCTGGTCTAAAGTCAATGGCGCAGTATTTATTTATTTTTTTTGTTATTTAACAAAATAACGCAAATACACTCTGCTTATTACACACACAGGGATGTGCAGCAGCACACGAACATGTCAAATATTAAAAATTAAAGTATTACAATGTAAAATATTATTATTGTGTAGGCTACATAAATATAAAAATTCCTATATATCATAATGGATAGTCATTGCATGTATCAGAATTAGGCTACCTATTTGCTCGTGCACAAGCAGCTCAGTTTCATCTCTGGAGATGCATTCTGTCTTTGCGCTTGCAAATTCCGCCGTGTAAATAGCGAATTCGCCATGGCGCGAGCGCACCTGGCTCTTAAAGGGAATGGGAGATGAGACTCTGATTGGTTTATTGCACGTTATGCCCAAAACACACCCATGACTCATTAAAAGAATAGGGGCAACCCTTTTAGACCATGCGCCAGGCTAGCAAACGTGGATTCGGACATGCCCTAAGTGCACCTGCGCTGTGCACTTTAGACCATGCGCTTAGATTGTTAAAATAGGGCCCTAGATCTCAATATTTGGACTTTCTCTCGGAATTCCAAGTTTTCATATCGGAATTCTGACTCATGCCTTCTCCTTCTTCATAGAATTTTGAGTTTACATCTCACAATTCTGACTTTTTCTCTGAATTCCAAGTTTACATATACCACAAATAACAGCCTTCCACTTCACACTGAATTAACAAGAGTCTTCCAAGATGCTGCGCTGCTGGTAACACATTAAAACGTTTTTTTTTTTCAACTATAAATGCTTTTATGTACCAGGTGTTGAGTTTGATCATGTTTCTTTCATTTTGCTATGGAAGCCCATTTCCACCACACAATTCAAAAAGTCAGAATTGCGAGATACAAACTCAAAACTTATTTTCTCACAATTCAAAGTTTACATCTTGCAATTCTGATGTTTTTTTGTTTGTTTGGTTGTTTTTTCTCAGAATTCCAAGTTTACTTATTGTAATTTACTTTTTCTCTGAATACAGAGTTTATATCTCACAATTTTTACATTTTTTTCTGATAATTTTTCCACAATTTTTCAGAATTACGAGTTTACATCTCACAATTCTGACTTTTTTCTGGAATTTCAAGTTTACATCTAAAAATTCAGAATTCCGAGTTTACATCTCACATCTTGGAATTCTAATTATTTTATTTTCTCAGAATTCTGAGTTTATATCTCACAATTTGGACTTTTTCCGCTCAATTCCAAGTTTACATATTGGAATTCTAACTCGGTGCAATGCGGCATCAGGCACGAAGCAACTGTTTTTTGCTAGTTTCAGCATGACGCAGTTATCATTTTCTTTGTATCGTTTTCTGGTCTGAAAATGAGGTGTGTTCATGTGCATTGTTGAGGCGTTGCTATTTTGAGGCAACTGAAATAGACTGCGCCATTGACCAACTAAGACCTGGTCTAAAGTCAATGGCGCAGTATTTATTTATTTTTTTTGTTATTTAACAAAATAACGCAAATACACTCTGCTTATTACACACACAGGGATGTGCAGCAGCACACAAACATGTCAAATATTAAAAATTAAAGTATTACAATGTAAAATATTATTATTGTGTAGGCTACATAAATATAAAAATGCCTACATGTCATAATGGATAGTCATTGCATGTATCAGAATTAGGCTACCTATTTGCTCGTGCACAAGCAGCTCAGTTTCATCTCTGGAGATGCATTCTGTCTTTGCGCTTGCAAATTCCGCCGTGTAAATAGCGAATTCGCCATGGCGCGAGCGCACCTGGCTCTTAAAGGGAATGGGAGATGAGACTCTGATTGGTTTATTGCACGTTATGCCCAAAACACACCCATGACTCATTAAAAGAATAGGGGCAACCCTTTTAGTCCATGCGCCAGGCTAGCAAACGTGGATTCGGACATGCCCTAAGTGCACCTGCGCCGTGCACTTTAGACCATGCGCTTAGATTGTTAAAATAGGGCCCTAGATCTCAATATTTGGACTTTCTC